TATATATATATATACGGGCTTTTAAATTTGGATGGTATATGAGACTTGGACAACTAATGTAGAACAAGTCTGTAATGCAGATGGACCATGCATGCTATGAAACCTGTTTGCTGTTGCAGTCTGGAAGTAAACTGTCTCTGTTTACTGTAAGAACTGTAGTCTCATTAGGGTGCTGAGAAGGAATAACTGCATGCTATTAGATTGAGTATGGGATACTGGAAATCTAGTAATTCATTCTGGAAAAACTTAAAATACTTTTTACCATATATTCTAAAATGGAACAAAAAATATAGACATCCAAAACTGTTGCGGGGGGAGGATAAATGCCTGAATTTCACACAGCCCAGCAGCTGTCTGACTTCCAGCCTTGGTCATAGAGGTTTCCTCCCCAACATCATCATAACCTGCAGCTTGTGCTCTGCCTGTTCTTGCTGTCTTTGATGCTTTAGCACTAAGGAGACCTGCTACTTTCTTGCTTTCATATCCAGGCTATCTTCTGGGTATTTTGTCCTTTCCATCTCTGGCTGGTGCGTGTGCGGGGGTCCACACGTTGCCTTTTAAATCAGCTTATGTATGCACAGGCTGTGGGGAAGCTTTCATGGAGTGCTGGTGTACAATGGTTGGCTACTGGGGAATAGATATGATTTTTTGAGAAGCAGCTGTTTCTGATGTATCTGCATGTTATACAGTGTTGTTTTTGGAGTATCTTGAATTACTGTATGGCAGTAACCACAGAAGTGTGTACATCTGTGTGTGTTGGGGGGGGGTGGGGGGGCTATGACTACCAATCTTGGAGCAGGGACCAAAGAGGCCTTCAGCAAGGTGGAGTGATAGAGGACAGATCTAGATGGGTTTGGGTAGACTTAGTTCTCAGGCTGTTCATGTGTTGCAGCCTTGTGGGGTGGGGAGGGGGTGACATTGTCCTTTTAGTAAGAGGCACCTGTTTATGGCAGAATGGACCGAAGTGGGGCACATGCTAAAATAGAAGGTGGCACAGGTATATTACAGGATGAGAGAGGCTGTCTGGACTCTTTCAACAGTGACTTTTTTTTTTTTTTTTTTTGAAAGGGGAGATGCTGAGGTGTATTCAGGTATTAGCCAAGCTGAGGCTGGGTCATACTCTAGTAACAGGCAGCCAGCTGCTGACAACTGGATCCAGAGTCACCTGGGAAGATGCTGCAGGGGTGTGGCCATTTCTTTACAGCTACAGCACTGTAAAGTGTATGCTTGACACTCCTGGTCCTGGTTAGACTGGAGAGTTTACATAGGATGAAGTAGTGTCAAGGTGATGTTGCAAGAGCTCTCGGGCTTTTCTTGTGATAATATTGATCATTTTGGTGCTGTTATCAGCACGCAGGGCTCTTGGAGGGGTCTGGCCCAGCTCAGAGCCCTTCCTTGGCACAGGGCAGCATGTAAGCAGAACGAAGGAATGGGTCTCTGCCTGCCAGTGCCTACAGGTCTGAAGACGGTGTCCATGCCAGTGGGTTGGGTGGGGAAGCAGGGGCTTGGCAGGGCACTGTAGGGGCCAGCTGCAGGTCTGCTGGGTGCTGTGGGTAGCAGGGGCTTGTGGCTTTGCAGGGGAGACGCTTCAGGGAAGTCTTGCTCAAAGGCTTCGGGCAAAGGGCACGGCTGAGGATCCTGCCTGTGGTATGATGGAGGAGGAGCCCTGCCAGAGCGCCCCACACAGGGCACCACCAGAAGCAGGGGGCTCTCCCCGCATACCTGCCTCCCGCGGGGCAGAGAGGGCTGCACTAGTCGGAGTTGCCGCCTGGGGGCGCGGGAACGCTCTCCTGAAGGGGTCACGTAAAGGGAGGGGCGGGGCCGCGGCACTTTCCTTTTAGGCGCCGCCTGGTACGTCACCCCCAGCTTCTCCGCGGGCTGGTGCGGGCTCGGCGCATGCGCCAGGCCGTCTCTGTCCCTGCTTTCTGCCCCTTCGAGGGCTTGGGCAGGGCTCCGCGCATGCGCTCTGCCTTCTCTTACCCAAGCCGCGCCCCCCGCCCCGGGCTTGGGCAGGGCTCCGCGCTTGCGCACTGCTCCCTTTCTTCCCCGCCCCCTCGGCGGGTTGTGCGAGGTTCGGCGCATGCGCCCTGCTATCTCTGCC